CTGACTAAAATTAATTAGATAGAACTTGTTCAAAAATTATCTAGAAAATATCAACTATTGTTTGATGGCCAATCACTGGCCATAAATTATATATGAAAAAACAATAATTAAATATTGGCAGTTTCTGTTCAGCAAATACTTCAATAGAAAATACTGGATAGTGTTTCTTGACAAATTTTTGTTAGAAATTAGGTAAAAAGAATGATAAATAAGTTCTGTCCAGTTCCTTCAATATATTAAGGTTTCTTCAATATACATATATTGAGCTTCTTCAATGCACATATTGTGTTTCTTCAATATATTGAGATTATTTTTAATTATTGTTCATAATTTTCTAAGAATTTCGTAAACATGCAAGAAACTGCAACGAATTAATAGAATCAAACAATCTTTTGATATTTAAGCTTCAGTATGTTTGTCCTTATTGCTATCGTGATTAATATTTAAAAATATATATTTGGATAATCTCGAGAGATCTTCGAGCTATTCAAGTCTTCTTCATTGATCTTCATACTACAGGTAGTATAACTGACAGCCAAGTAGGTCTGGCAATATCGCAATCGTTGATTCTGATCGGTTGCTTGCAATATTGCATAAAACAATCCACTGAGACAATGTCGCTGATGACTTCCGTGGAAAGGATTTTCCAATATACAAATCTTCCCAAGGAGGAATCCATTACATCGAATAATCCACCACCACCTACATGGCCATCCCAAGGACAATTGATCTTGAAGAACGTCAACATGAAATATCACAAAGATGATCCACCAGTTTTGAAGGTATAAATAAACCGACTGTCTATTCTTGCAAACATTTTTTGTATTTTATCACGTAATCGTGCTTTATAGAATCTGAACGTATCCATCGAGCCTGGCTGGAAAGTTGGAGTGGTTGGACGAACTGGAGCCGGCAAGTCCTCCTTGATCTCGGCGCTTTTCCGCTTGTTCAATGAAGATCTTGAAGGCGAGATCAAAATCGATGGCCGGGACACAAGCATGGTCGGTCTGAGTGAACTGCGCTGCAAGATCTCCATTATACCACAGGAACCTGTGCTCTTTTCCGAGAGTCTACGTTATAATCTGGATCCGTTCAATCAGTACGACGACATGAAGCTGTGGGAGGTGCTACGGCAAGTCGAGCTGAGTGATGTCGCGTTGGACCACGATATCTTCTCTGGCGGTCATAACTTCAGTGTCGGCCAGAGACAACTCATATGTTTGGCTAGGGCCATCCTGAGGAACAATCGCTTGCTCGTTCTCGATGAAGCCACAGCCAACATTGATTCGCAGTGAGTCTCGACGATTTTTTTAGTAGTAAGATTTTAAATATCATTTTGTGAAGGCAAGCGGTTTTGATTGATTGATCATTAATGAATCGTTATAAATTATTGTATCAATAATTCAAATATTCTATTAGTAGTTATTAATTATATTATTAATTTTGTGAATAATAAAATATTTCCGTAGTGTGTTAGGATACAATGAACATTTCTATTGTGATAAATGTAAGATTTCAAGAAAAACAAATTTAAAAACAACAGATTTTTCAAATTGGATTAGATCAGATTTCTGGCAAACATTTATGTTTTGTATTTATAATATCATAAACGCACGATTTCTGAATTTAACATATTTTCGAATTTGTTCTTAATTAATATCTCTATTTCTAGTACCGATGCCTTAATTCAGGATACAATAAGAAGCAGGTTTAAAGAATGCACCGTCATTACAATTGCACATCGTTTGAATACGATTATAGACAGCGATCGGATTATTGTAATGGAGAACGGATCTATTGTGGTAGGTTTTCTGTTTTTATAAAACGTGAATATGTTAGTTATTTCGACAGCGAAAAGATATAATTTTGTATATGTAACTGTTTAAAAAATTTATTCATAATAGTTCCTATTAATAGTATAATATAAATTCGACTTTTGAAAAAAGAATACATATATATATTTAATAAAGAGAAAGAAGAGTATAACCATCGTAAAACGGACATTAAATGTTCACATTTTTATAATCAGAATTCTAAAGAAGTTAAAATTAAATCAATAAAGTTAAATCAATAATCTTACGTAGTGTGAAATACGTGTAAAAATTTGATGTTTTCAAAAACACAATTCTTTTTTATAATTCACGACATGGCTTTCTTTCCTCTAAAACTTTTAGAGTGACTCTCACTCTGAAGAGTGAAATTTTAATCTTCAAAATTGAAAATTAAACCACTCTTTTTTAAGACTGGCTCAATTTTCGCTCTTTATATATATATATATAGTGTGTGTGTATATATATATATATATACACACACACAAAGAATAGCTAAATTTTTAAGAAAATCTTGTAATTAGAGAGAAGTTTCCATTTGCAAAGATAATCAGAATTGTTACACCAATAGGAATTCGGTTGCCCGTACGGACTGTTGCACGATAAACCAGACGGCTACTTTTCACAAATGGTAGAGAAGACTGGCAATCAGATGGCGGAAAGTCTTTTGGAACAGGCGAAGAAGGCTTGTGAGAAGAATAACGATCATCGTGAATTAAACTTATCGGCACAAAATATCGCGAACGAGAGCGATACCACAATCACAGAACAATCTGCTTTATAGTTTTTTCTATCAAGAAAATCTTTTTTAAAAGTACAGGATCCAGCAGAGAAATCTGTCGCTTTCATAAGGACTGTATTCGGTCGACGGTGACGGGGAACGTATCACGTTCTCACTGCTGGGGTTCAACAGTTCATATACCTTTATTTTAAAGTAACTATACCAATATACTATATGGAGCATTGAAAAAGATATATAGTTACGGAAACCTGATAATTATTAAAAATTTCGTATATATATATAAATACACTGACAAAAATTTACTAAATTTTAGTAAATATTTGTTTCAATAGTACTAATAAAATATTTACTAAATGTAAACATATATTTATTTGATTTAAGCATAACTTTTTTATTTCGAGTAAATACTTATCAATACTTATTTACTGTAAGTAAATATTTCGTTAGCACTATTGAAATTTTCAGTGTTAAACGCGATTGAGAATATATGCTGTTAGACGCCATTGAGAATGTGAATCCTCATCAATATCAGTGAAACTACTACTATCATAAATTACTATCATAAAAGCGTCACGTTTCTCTGTTGATTGTTATTTTATACCTATAATATATGTATATATGTATATCCACTTATTCAGTCAGTAAAACGTTAGCAGAATATCGATAGACTGGAAATTTGAATAGAAATGTCAGTAGATTGACATAAAGTGCGGTCGCATTCTGGTCCCGACAGAATCTGTTCATATAATCAGACAGCAGATTGATGACAGAAACCAAGCAGTATCTGCACGCGCGGAGCAATTTGACAGACTGGCAGTAGAAATCAAGCAGGAGCTGCAAATCCTGCTCACTCTATGTCAGTTTACTATTCAGATGGTTAAATCTGTCGAAAACAAATGTCATAAAATCTTGCTACAAACTTTGAAGACAAAAAGGTGACAAAATTTGATGCAAATTTTGTTATACTCAAAGCTGTCAGCAAATTGAGATGACAAAATAATTAAGGAACATATTCGGCAAAATCCAAGCGAAGCTTACAAATAATCTAACAGCAAATCTAATAGCAAATGGACAGCTAAAGCTGAGCAAACCTTGCTAATCTGACTTAACGGTAAATTGTTGACAAAAGTCGAACAAAATTTGCTGATATAAAACCTGACAGTAAATTGTCGGCAAAAATTGAGCAAGATTTGTCATTTTCATATGCGGCTCCGTCACGAAATGGATTTGCTTTTCGTAAGAAGATCCAGGAGAAGATCCTATCAGAAGACGTATGCAAATCAAATTGGCGAGTCCACTGGAGATCCCCAAACTCTTTCGACGTGCTTTCTGGGTTTCCGAATGTTTTTTTAACTATTTTATAACTTTGTCGTGTGTATTTTAGAATGTGATGCTAATCAAAAATGTTTCAGCAGTAAAACTGAATTGTTTGTATTTGGCATCATTCCGTTGGCATATCTTGCTACAGATTGTATATATTTGGCGCCATTTTGTAAGCATGTTTGACGACAGATCTGGTCTGCGTTTGGTGTAGATCTGTCATCATATTGTTATTATCAAATCTGCTCTCTGATATTGACTTAAATTTGACTTCAAAATATGTTCTTCAGATATTGTTTATATTGCAAGCCTATTGTGGATACAATAATCTCTGGTTTTGGTACTTAATTCCATTGGAATTTGGTGTCAATTTAGAAACAAAATGTTTGTTGGGTATAGGGAAATACTACAGTATATATAACATATACTGTAGTATTTCCCTAGTTTTAGATATTGCGATCTTTTCAAGCTACGGTCCACTTGAAGTTACAAATGCTTCGAAACATTTTTTGATCAATTAATAAAATTCTTTCTTCCGATTGATCAGTCAAAAGCTTTAAAGCATTTGTAGTAGAGATCATGGTTTTGAATGTGTATTGGAGATACAAGCTGTGTCTAAATATATTCGTGTTTCAATCCGTGTGATTTTTAATACACAGGTACATGATACTGAAATGCACGAGTGTATCACACGTGTATCAGACGTGAAATACACGGTTTGAAAGGCGTATATTAGTTCGTGCTTTGCCGGTGAAAAGTTGGAAAGTCGTGAAATTTTCAGAATTTTAACACGACCTGTTTCTGGTCTTTGCGAAAAAGACCATTCGATGGGGGGTGACAAATATCATATAAACTGTTTCAAAGTAGAAGTTTCACTCTTTAAAACGCACGCAGAAAAATCGTCCTGCGATCTTTGGAAGCGGAGATACAGTTTCTTAAAAATCGGCAAAATTTGTATTTTAGGTTTTAGTGATCTCCTAATTGTGCGCAGTATAGTACAAACATAATATATTATTATAAATTACAACTTGCTTCCTTATTTTTTATATATTTTAGGATTTATTCAAAACATACTTCACAGATTACATTTAAAAATTGCATTCAAAACGTTACCCATACGTAAGTATCAAAAATATAGTGCAATAATAGCAAAATTCAGATCTCTCAGATTCATGTTCCTTATGAATATTTTCTAAAACAAAAAGAAAACTATGTGTAGACTTATTAAGAGATTATATTTTCACTAAGAAAGAGAGAAAGAGATTACTTACTTTCGTTATTTAGTTTATCGCAGATATTAGATAATTTGAACTTGAAGAAATTATTCATACCTACTAAGGGTATTTTGGGGAATAATCTTTTGAATATTGTTGATTCTACATTAGTTTTAATATTGCGATGCAAGGACGCGAACATAAATCCTAAGGAATGTTTTTTTAATTTCACTTCGTTCTTAAATAACTTTAGTCTTGCTTCAATTCGCTCCTCTGTGTTACACTCCTTTCTTAAAACTGTGACCCACGTCTGTATAGAACCAGTAATCATTATACACCTTGGCGCATTTATAAATTGATCCGTCATTATATTTTTAATATAACTAATGTATACATATGGTTTCTGTATCAAACGTAATATATCTTCATTGTAACTCTGACAGAAATACATAACAATTACTTCATTTCCAATGCTGAATATATGCAAAAAAAAAATATGTGTTAGCAAGTTGGCAATTGTTGTACAACAGTTTGACATATTTAAATAATAAACTTTGATATGTATTATTGCAGTATTAAATATAAATTATACCTTCTTTGCATTGATTCCCAATGTTCTTCTAATATTGAACTATTCCAATCATTACAAAATAACAAAAAACATGTAGATGTTTCGTGATTTGGCATAGATGTTTTATGATTAATGATTGTCCTCATCATCTCCTGATATACAGTATTCGATGCGCTACAAAGTCGCAATCGAAACGATGCTATTGTAACGTTTGAGATACGAGGCAAAAATGCGCATATCACTTTTGGAATTAGTTGCATCTGTTTAGTCGTATTAATAGTTTTACCAAAAAAAAGTGCAGTATCATAACGTTTGGATATTAAATGGTGAAATAATCGATCTTAAACACAAACAAAAAATTGATTTTAACAGTTTCAGATTATTCTATAATAACTCACAGGAAAAAATAAATGAAAGGATTAGTATCAAAATGGTATTAAAATATTTAAAAAGTACTTTATCGCAATTTAAAATAAAATATTTGCTATTTGTTGATGAGATCTTCAACTTTTTGTAATTACTTATTTGTATAATATAAGAGAATATAAAAAATATTAAACATATACCTTCTATATATGTTTCACAATATATATCATTAAATGTATCACAATATATATCATTAAATGTATCACAATATATATCTTTGTACTCTAGTTCAGTACTAACAAAACAGAAACAGAATGATGGTTCAATTCTTAGATTCTTGATCAAATGATTTAACAAATCGCTGTCTTCGTTAGAAGATATAAAGCAAGGATTTAGTCTTGTCGATTTTTCGTCATTCGCAGCTTCTAACCAAGATCTTGAAAAAAAAAATTATATTATAATTTCGTGTTTAAATTTATTGTATCCAATTTAATTGTTACACGGTACGTATTTTGCATTCATGGCGTACAGAAAATGATTCAATAAAGACAGTTAAATATTGATCGCGTTTAGCAGACTCAATTGTTGCGAACGGATCTGTGAGCGCTCGCTGCTATTAGTGTATTCTTTTAAATCATTCAATGTGGTAGCGAGCGCTCACGAATCCGCAACCGTTGAGTCTGCAGAACGTGACTTACGTGATAATTACTATTATCATTGATATTTTTATCATAATTAAATTTTTAACACGTTCCATGCCACGTCAATTTTACATGACTGAACCACCACACCACGTCCTCAGTGACCCACGATATTTTTGTTTGTGTTTGTCTTAATAAGTTATATTATAAAATAAATATTTTAATTGAGCGCATTAAATCTCGAGACCTGAGGTAGTGTCTCGGCGTTAAGACACTAATGCGGGGTCTACAATAGAAATCGTAACGGTCGTAGGGTCTTAAGTCATAGAAAATTGACCAATCACAGTTGATTATTCTTCTCATATTCGACTGTGATTGGTCAATTTTCTACGACTTAAAACCCTACGACTGCTACAACTTCTATTGTAGACCCCGCATAAATATATCAATGTACGATCGGTAATACAGGTGGTCTGAATGGAAAGTTTAATAAGTTACAACTTTCCATTAGTCGTAAGTTAGACTTTCCGTTAGATTTTCCATTAGACTTTCCGTCTAACCTATCTAACATGTACTATCGATGATGCACGTGGCATGAAACATGTTGAAAACATGACGTGAAACATTATAAAAATTATTCGTAATTATTATTATTTAAGTCAAATTTTATATCCATTCAAGTACACATGCTATAGAAAATATATTCATTCCACTTGCAATTAAACAAATGTTTAGAATTTAATTTAGAATTAAGTTAAGCATGAATCATTAACCTGATTCACATGCTCGGAAACATTTCGCATGTGCTCGGCACACACCCTTGTTTCTTATTAAAGTGAAACAAGGATAAAACTCTTAAAAGCATTGTAAGTAGTGAATTATGAGTGTGAATCAGATCGCGATCATTAATAAATCATCGGTGTGTACCTGCAAACCATTGCAGCATTCGTCAGATCCCTGCTATTCAAATATTCAAAAATTAATCTAAGAACATCGTACGGTAATATACTAGAAATCAGTGTATTTTTGTTGTTCTGCGTTGCATCTTCATGGTTTTTGATACTAAGTTCTCCTTTCCTCATTATTAATCTTTTTCAGTTTGAAACTTTCAGTGATTACGGTTTCAACGAGGTACTAGAGGTGCTCTCCAGCAAAAGACACAGATGACACAGGCTGCGGTCCACTCAAGAAGACTAGAACCAGGAGAGTCAACTCGTGCCAATAGCGGTAGTGGGGGTGAGGCAAAAAGTGGCGACGGATAACTTCCCCCACTCTTGCGCTTCATTAGTCCTCTCTGTCGCTCTATATAGTCGTCGCTCTATGGTTCTATAATCGTCACTTTGTCGCTCTTATATCGAACTTTCACACAATGTGCAGTGGCACTGCACATTGTGTGAATAACTGCGGACGTTTTTTGACTCACCCCCATCACACGAGTTGATCCTCCTTAGTTCTAGTCTTCTTGGGTCCACTTAACGCTACAAACGATTCGAAATGTTTGAGCGACCAATCAGAACAAAGAATTTTACGAATTAACTAATCAAAGAATGCTTCGAAGCGTTTGTAGCGTCAAGTGGACCGCAGCCACAGTGTAATACAGTGAAACATTACATCCTTGTTGTTTGCTAATGTTAAACGAAGATGATCACTGTATCATACTAAGCCTGTTCTTTTTAACTAAAGTTCTTGCACGGTTCATCTTTCTTTTTTCTTGATGTTGGAGAGAAAAAGAGAAAAGATGAACCGTGCAAGAACTCTAATTAAAAAGAACAGACCTACTGTGTCGCTTGCTAGAAAGGTTTATTCGCGTCACATGCTCTAGCATGCTCTCACCATAGTTCTTAGGGTGCTGTCCCATGACAGTCGGATTTCGGAAAACGGAATCTCGGAAAAGTTATAGAGTGGGAATGAACCAATCAGAATTATTGGAATGCATTACTGCACATATAAGTTAAATACAAGATTATCGAAATTGAATTTCTATACGTATAAAAAGAAATTCATTATTGATAAATAATTGTGAACAAACCTATAGAGCAAAGGATCAATCATGTAACTTTTTTCCTAGGACGAAAACATGAAAAGTGAAAATTTTTTGTATGTATACATATGTATAGTCGAGGCCTAAAAGGTTGCAACATTTTTTTTCAATGGGTTTCGGAATGCAGCTTGCTCACCAAGCGATTGGTTCTTATTCATGGATCGACAAATAAGAACCAATCGCTCGGTGAGTAGACTCTATTCCAAAACTCATTTAAAAAAAAATGTTGCAACCTTTTAGGCCCTGACTGTACATACACATATACATAAAAATTTTTACTTTTTACACTTCTGCCTTAGGGAAAAAGTTACATGATTAAGGGGTTGCGCACGAAGAAAAGAATAGGGAATAGGGAACAGAATAAGAATTTCAACCTATCAGAAACTGTGTATTCCACAATACATGATTTCTGATAGGTTGAAAATCTTACTCTCTATTTCCTGTTCCCTATTCTTTTCATTGTGAGCAGCCTCTAACTTTTTTGACGAATTCGATTGGAAGCACTAGTGCGCACTGGTGCACATTAAAACCGTTGTACACTGATTTAATTTGAGTATAAAAGTGAAATGCAAATATTTTGAATTATATAATGCATATTTTACCTAATAGTACAATAAGATGTATTGAGTATTTCAGGATTTAATTGATTTCTATGTTTATGTATAAACATATCTTTACGTTATTTTGTGTACAACGGCTTTAATGTGCATCAGTGCGCACTAAATGCGTCCAATTGAATTCGCTATTTGTCCTTTTTCCATACCTAGAGAAAAATTAGGAAAATTCGAAAAACTAGGGAAATATTATAGTATATGTAACGTATATTATAGTATTTCCCTCGTCTTTCTTATACATTTCTTTCAAGAATATATAAGGACTCAGGGTCCCTAAATATTGACTATGGTTCACTTGAAGCTTCAAATGCTTCGAAGCATTTTTTTATTGGTTAATTGATAAAATTCTTTTTTCTGTGATCAATCAGATGTTTTTAAGTATTTGTAGCTCCAAGTGGACTGCACCCCTTCAAAAGTATTGCATATACTTAACTAACATAAAACTAGCATTGCTAACAGATTTTGTTATATTTTGGCAGTAGTTTGACCGTCAAATATTACAGACTCTTTGTGAAACTTCCCTGTGAACACAAAGTTACATGTAACGCATCTATTACTTGTAATTTCCCATTCAACAATATAACTGTAACGCAACATGTGTAGTGTATTATATTACAGTTATATTGTTGAGTGGGAAATTACAACAGATACATTAATTTTTATAAATTGTGTTCATTAGGTTGATGCCTTTCTGTCATCAGAGTTTGATAACATATACTCTTCTCAAAATCTGTCTCCGTAGACTTGGCTATCTGGGTAATTTTATACAGTGACTCACGAAACTGATCAAATCACCATTACGAATTTTCACTTTTAAAAATCTAAAGTCGATTATTCGCATATATTAAAGTTTATAAACTTTAACTCTCATAGAAAATACTATATTAGAATCTCAAAGAAAGAGAGAGAAATTATTGGAAATAATTGGTAAACTATTCAAATCAAATATTTTACACTATTTGTTTTAATAAATTTTTTATTAGTTCAATAATATTTTTCTATAAGGGACTGTTGTTTGTCCGCAATGTCGATTGATTCATTTTGTTGCGCTTACTTCGCGAACAGCTATTGCATATTTTGTCTCATACAGAGAACAAAATAGTGTAATGTCCATATCTACTATAGATAACTAATAGACATATAAAGTATCTATATCTGCTGGGTCTAATCAGCGGATATTCATTGAATGTTATCTATGCAAATATCACAAAGTAGATAAATGTCGAAGATGTCTACTACAGATATTCGCATGTTATCCATATATTCACGTCATCTAAGTAATCCTATTTTATCTGCTAAAGGGATAGAATGCCTACGACAATTCAATAAAATCTCCCATTAAGTAGTAGATAAAGTTACTCGAACAACGCAATATGAAATTTCTATGCTTTGATAGACAAAGTCTTAGAAAAGTCCGATTTAACCTACTCTACTTGCACGAAAAGTGATATGATCGTTACCGAATATCCTGTATAAAAAAATGACATATTACATTAATATTATATAATGGGATTCGACTCCCGGCCGAGGTAATATTTTTCAATAAGTTTAATTACAGTTTTTTCAGCATATTTTCAAACATTTTTGAAATATGATGCCTGATTGAGCATCGAAATTATTAGAATTTAATTTAATTCGCGAAATTACTACAGTGGTTTAATTGTGTTTAGTCCGGAAATATTTCGGTGCACAATTTGTTAGACTACAATTGTGATATGTATGTCAAGTACATATATATCATATTTAGTGATTAAAGATTGAATTATTTAAGCATTTTAAGATCTAGCTTCGATCTAGCCCTAGTATAGGACTTTAATTTGTCGTTTGTGTCTCTTACATACACGGTCTAAAAATGATATTATACATTAATATAATATATAATATATATATGTGCAATGGATATTTATGTAACAGTCACTGGATATATATGTTTAGTGAACATTATGATATACAATAAATGAAATTGAAATTTACTATAAAATCTAATAAAATTATATCTTTTTAAATTAAATTAAATTATTATCAAAGAATTTATATATATATATATATATCTGTCTCCCCAAATATTTTTTAATTGACTACAATATACGTAAAATGTTTAATGACTATTATACGGTTAATTCATTTATCTCTTATATGTCGTCAAGTTTGTATTTTTAAATCTTGTTTAAAATAATAATGTTACTATTAAAAAAATTATTTATCTAATCACTATTTGTAGCTATTAAATAGCTAAGTTTAGTAACAAGTAAAATTTTACTATACAAATAGTAAAGAAAAGAAAGAAGAAATAAACTATATGGAAAAATAGCGTGAAATGTATTACTTGAGAAGAAAAACAACAAAAGCATTACGTAGCGATATTTGTACAAACAATGTATTGGACAGTTATCACTAATGTTTCTCGTATATCACTAGTAGTGTAAGTCAATATAAAAAGCAGCACAGTTACTGATAATTTCAGTAAAGGATTAACTATTGGAAAGCGTGCCTCGAGAAACGGCAAGAGAAGGAGAACGAACGGTAAAGAAAGAGGGAAAGGGGAAAGAAAGGAAGAACGCTGATCGTTTTCGTTTTTTTTCTGTTAGCTTGAAGTATTAGTTTTTATGCGACAATATGGATAAAGATACGAGCGACATGAAGCCAAACCCTAAAGAGACCGCAAATATCTTCAGTGTTCTATTTTTCTGGTTCGTCAAAATTCAATATTATATTGAACAAAAGAAAGGAAAAAAAGAAAGAAAGAACAAAATATGCAAGTCCTTGTTTTTTACGAAAAATTTTAATTTTTATAAAAAAGAAGAGATTCCGAAAAATTAGAAATATTTTTTTTCTTAGAAAGTGAGATTTCATTAAGAAAAAGAAATTTTTTAAAAATAAGCAAAATTATATTTCTTCAAAAAAAAAAAAAGAAAATGAAGAATATTTTTGCTTGTATTGCGTTAGCTATTTTTAATTTCATATGTACATTTTACATTTTTACTTTAAGAAAATGAAAAAGCATTTCGCAAATTTTCCTGCTATTCAAAAGAACGACGTGTAACTTACGTCGAGTCATCCTCTCTTATCTATTCTTTTTCTACATATATATATATATCAGTTACCACTTGCAGTAATTAAAAAAATTAACTATGTCTTTGTATAACTGTGAGCCATATTAAATTATTATTTATCATTAACAAATATGAATGTGCATGTATGTTATTACATTGTCGTTATCGAATATGAGAAAAAATTTATTTATTTTTTCTTAGATTACAAAAACAATCACAGTTTTTCTAATCATCCATCGTTAAAATAAATTTACAATGGAAAATACATGTATAAGGTGCTCGTAAAGTATCTACTTAGAACCTTTGATTTCCTGAATTATATATAATCATGTTGATGTTGAGAGAAGAAATAATTATTTCGGGATATTTTAATA